ATATTTTCCATGTTCCAGGGGAAGATTCATTCTCGTTTTGCACAGTTTGGTGAGTGGTGGAGTGAGGCCGTAAGTCCGGCTAGCGGGGGCTTAGACTCGGTTTTGAGTACGCAGAGTCTTCTAACGGGCTTAGACTCGGTTTTGAGTACGCAGTCTTCTAAAGGAGCAGCCGTGGAAAAAGTAAGTATTTGAGTTTTTGAAATGTTCATCCAAACTTGAATAAAGGAAATTTAAATTGCATAGATTTAAATATTATCAATTTATAATAATCATAAGACAATAATACTTAAAAAGAGGTGTCACACGAGAGTCGAACAATAATCCAGAATAAAGTATGATTCGGTAATGCACACAGAAATTCATTTATGTTGAAAATAGCCATTGTCCCACCATCCCACAGTTCCCACTTGGCAGCTGTACGGATGAGTGCCATATAATGCCCCAGTCTGTCCAAAATACAGGCAGTAATGAGGATGGTCATTAAGGTCATTGCCTGGCGTCTCATGATGCATAAGAAGGTGGCGACCGTGGAATGCTAGTTGTAAGACATTTACAGTAAAGCCTCCTGAGGTAGTATAATTACTACCTTCAGGAGGTGGACCATTATGGTCATACAACAACTGATTTAAGGGATGCAGTAAAACATTGACGCTGATAAGCCTGTAGGCAGACATTTGTGGTTGCAACTCACAAGCATTTGGTAGATCTGCCTGCAGATCCGATTCGGTCACCACTGGAAAGGCGCGAAGGCCACTCTGGCTTATTTATTTCTTTTATTTATATAATAAGAAGGCAACTTTCCAGTGGTGACCGAATTGGATCTGTGGGCAGATCTACCAAATGCTTGTGGGTTGACAGCCACAAATGTCTGCCTACAGGCTTATCAGCGTCAGGAGGCTTTACTATAAATGTCTTACAACTATCATTCCACAGTCGCCACCTTCTTATGCATCATGCGATGCCGGACCATTATGGTCATACCGGACCATTATGGTCATACAACAACTGATTTTCAACAGCGTCAAGCTGATGAGCAATCGTAACAAATTGGGATGCAGTATAACATTGACGCTGATAAGCCTGTAGGCAGACATTTGTGGCTGTCAACTCACAAGCATTTGGTAGATCTGCCTGCAGATCCGATTAGGTCACCACTGGCTTTCCAGTGCTGACCGAATCGGATCTGCGGGCAGATCTACCAAATGCTTGTGGGTTGACAGCCACAAATGTCCGCCTACAGGCTTATCAGCGTCAGGAGGCTTTACCGTAAATGTCTTACAAGTAGCATTCCACGGATGCCACCTTCTAATGCATCACGCAACGCCCCTGTCACTCCAGGCGATGACCTTAATGACCATCCTCATATATCTGCCTGTATTTTGCACAGACCCGGGCATTATATGGCACTCATTCGTGCAGCTGCCCAGTGGGAGCTGTGGGATGGTGGGACAATGACTCAGGCTATTTTCAACATAAATGAATTTCTGTGTGCATTACCGAATCATACTTTATTCTGAATTATTGACCGACTCTCGTGTGACACCTGTTGGGACAGGGACACGGTGCGTCTTGGCTGCGGAATTCATCACCTATGCCATCAACATTATCAATCTATTGCAGTCGCCGCCGTCTGTGCCCCATTATACACATCCCTATCACCCAGATATTCATTGTCCCTTTTGTGACGAAGGATGCTATCAGGACTGCATGATGCCGCACTGTGATGAACGTCCTGCTGTTTTTTTTACATGTGGACAGAATGTCCTTTGTCAGGACTGTTTTGATGGGATGGTCCGTGCTAGCCGTCATGCTGAATGCTGTGCTGAAGTAGCTCTCCTTGGGTATCCTTGTGGACATCCACGTCATCCTTCAGGGAGCCTGTCCTATCTGCCGGGGTGGGGGTCCCTCTTCCAAACTGGTCAATAGAATCAAGCGATCAGGAGCAACACTAATTGTAGGACGGATAAAAGAAAGAAAGAAAGTACAAATTTCTGGAGAAAAGAAAAAAGAAAACAAGAAAAAAGAGAAGAAGAAAAAAATATGTTGAACTTCGTAGTGACAGTGGCCGTTGGTTTATCTGTGGGATTTGTCATTTGCTTTCTTTGTTTGTGGGTCCTTGTGACACACGGGGATGGGCCCAGCCAGCGCTCAACCTCTCATCGACATGGCTGGCCTTGTACGTAAGAGGTGATGAACATGTGGGGTTTTCCTTCCTTCTTTTCCTTTCCTTGTTTTGCTTTTTTTTGCCTTCGCGCTCTGATTCACAATGTGACAACATATTATTATTGTAAGTAAAGTAGAAAAATGTCAACTAGATTCTTCTTAATTTTGGGTTCCTGCCTGCCATCGGATGTGAACATCTCACGGCGACACTGTGGCCACATATAAAAGCTCCCGAACGGAAGACTAAACGTCCGCCACCGCTACCATCTTCACCCGAATAGAACGGCCGGTAGTTATCCCTGTATTTGAGGCAACCTTCAGTCCAGGAGCAGCCATAATGACCGGGTGTTCTATTCGGGTGAAGTAGGACTTAGCCACAGTGGAAGGACGTACAAGTTTGAGTTCCGACTGGGGTCTTCGTTCCCCGAGTAGATCGCACGGTCATGACGGCTGTATTCGGGGCAACGGTCAGTCAAGACACAGCGATAATTAATGGCCGTGTGGTGTGTGCGCTCCATTCGAGTGAAGACGGCCATCACCAACTCTCGATGAAGAAGAGTCATCGAGCATCACCCGAATGCAGCGCTCACACCGCACGGCCACTATTTACTGCTGTGTATCTTGACTGACCGTTGTCCTGGATACAGCTGTCATGACCGTGCGTTCTACTCGGAGGAAGACGACCATGGTGGAAATTCAATTTTTGCTGTTTTTTCTAGAAAAAGCAGTCACTTTTTTTTTTTCCTTCTTTTTTTTTTTTTTTGTTTT